GGGAGGGGACAAAGGAGGGGAACGAGGGGGGAGACGAGCCAGGGACGAGTCCGGCGAAGGAAAAACAGGGCCGTAGACAGGAAGAGGAGGAGACGGTGGGGGAGGAACCGACGCAGGGTCGGGGGACGGAAGGCCGAGCAGGCGAAGGGCGGACACCGGCAAGGACTGCTGCTGCGGCGGCACAACGGCGACACCTGGACCGCAAGCTGCTCCTCGGCTACCACCAGCACTCTCCACACCCGCACCCCCAGAGGGACCACCCCCAGGGCGACCGGGACGAGCACCCCCAGAGTCAGCGAACGGGTGCTGCGACGGCGGCGGCGGCGGTGGCGGCGGCAGCGACAACGACGGCTGCAGCGGCGGCAGAGGCGGTGGAGGAGGGGACTGGGAAGGGGATGCCAGGGGAGGGGCGGCCGGCGAGGACTGCACAGGAGGGCCACCAGAGTCAGAAGACTCCCCAGCCGGGTCCACCGACGGAAGGGGGGTGACGTGGGACACACCAGAGGGGGCGGGACGGGGAGGAGGAGGAGGAGGGGCAGGGACTACCGGGGAAGGAGTGACCAGGAACAGGGGGGGGTAACCGGGGGACCACGGTGGGGGAAGCGACGGTAGTAGGGGACGGACTCGTCAAAGGTGACGTCACGAGAGTGAAAGAAGCGGTGAGACGGCGGGTGGTAAAAGTGCCAGTCGGACGCGTCAAGGGGAAAACCGAGGAAGACGCAGGGAAGGGTGCGGGCAGTGAGCTTGTCCGTGCCGGAGGCACGGGCGTGAGCAAGGCAGCCCCAGACGTGGAACGCAGACGCGTCACCAGGAGACCCAGTCCAAAGACGGGTCGGCGAAACCTGCGGCTGCTAAGGGTGCCGCCACAAGTTAAGCTGGTGAGAAGCGTAGCGCACAGCGAACGGCCACAGAAAATGGGGTGCACCGGCATGGATCATGGAGGTGCGAGCCACCTCCATGACCAAACCGATGCGTCGCTCAGCGACCCCATTCTGCTGTGGGGAGTCCGGTAGGGTGAACGTCTGGGTGATGCCCTCCGCACGACAAAAGCGACCAAGGACACCTGATGCAAACTCGCCACAACGGTCTGAGTGAAGACGCAAGACAGGGAGACCGCGGTGGACACGCGCAGAGACAAGCCAAGGGATGAGAGCGGCAGGCACGTCGGCCTTGCGCTCCAGGGGAAAGACAGTGGTGTAACGAGTGAAGTCGTCGATGAGCACAAGGAAGTAGAGCTCTCGACGCGGCCCAGGGACGGGGGCGGGGCCCCAGACGTCCAGGTGCAGGGCTGCAGCGGCGCGGCGGTAGGGGGAAACGAGGAGGAGTGAGGGGCACGGCGAAGCCGACCCTCGACACAGGGCGTGCAAGGGGGGGCGGGGGAGGAGGGAAACGAGGGGAGAGAACCGGGGAGACCAAGGACAAGACCGTGCTGGGACATGTGACGCAGACGCGGGAGCGCAGGGTGACCTAGGCGGTGGTGCCAAAGGAGAGTCGGGTGAGTGAGAGACCGACAGGAGCAGGCAGCAGCAACCTGGGTAGACGCAGCCACTTGAGGGGGGGCCCCAGCCGGGGGGGTCACGGTGTCCAGAGTGAACAGGCCGGACACCGGGTCCCGGGGGAACGTGGACAGGTGGGCACCAGTGGCGGCCTCAGTACAGACAGCATACCGCTCGTGGCCAGGGAACGTAGTGGTGACGCCAAGGTCCTGGAGGCAGCCGACACCAACTAGGTTCCTGGAGAACGAGGGGATATGCAGACCTGTGAGAGTGCCCGAAGGAACCGCCGGGCAGGGAAGGGTGGTGGAACTGCGGGCGACTACCGGACCACCAGAGGGGTCAGCAAGAGAGACGGCAGCAGGAACAGGAAGCGGCGTCACGGTGGTGGAGTCGCGGAAGAAACACCGAGAAGCGCCACAGTCCAAGGTGAAGGAAAGCGAAGCAGAGGCGTCTGGCGTCGGAACGACGGTGGTAGCACCAAGACTACACAAAGCAGAGGATCCTACGCCTGACGCAGCACGGGAGGCTACGCTAGACACACCTACGCTAGGCAACAGTGACTAATAAGCTGGAAGCACACTAGAGTCATCAGCATACATCACATGCAGAGCAGCAACAATGGCATCCATGTCCAAGTCGGAATACTACGTCTAAGCATGCTGTGCCAGTCCGGGAGGTCTGGCGACGGGCCGAAGCGCTGACGAAAGAGGTCGTCCAGGCGACGAAAACAGCGGGGAGTGGAGTGACCGATCTTACCGCAAACGTAGCCGCGGCGAGGACCGGTCTGGATCTGGTACTGACAACGTCCGCCGCCAGAGCCACCACTCGACACACCACCACGCACCCGGCCACCACCAGCGCCGGGCCACCCGGGCGGGAGGACACTCGTCTGCCGTGTCTGCGACGGCTGCTGCGGCTGCGGCGAAGGCTGCGACTGCGGCGGCTGCTGCGGCTGCTGCAACTGCAGGGGCGGCGGCACAGCCGGACAGGGCAGGGTCCCCTCGTCCGCTCCAGCACCAGACGACCCGACCCCACCACTACCCCCTCCCGCACCCCCGCCTCCGCCGCGCCCAACCTTGGGGCGGCGGCCCTTCCCCGAACGAGACTGCGCTGCAGCAGCGGTCTCATCCACTGCGACAGAGCCGTCGGAGAAGGTACACTGGGCGGGGGCACAACCCTAAAAGATAGGGACCGGCACGACACCGCTCGCCTGGGCGATGGAGCGGTGACGGGTCTCTATCACAGTCAGGGTGTCTACAAAATCAGTGAGGGTGAGATCGGCGGGGTGAATGCTAAGGAAGCGGTCGCGGGCGACAGCAAGGCGGTCAGGGAGGCGGGTGGCAAGCAGGTAGAGGGTAGAGGTAATGGGCGGCTGGTGGGCTCTAAGCTGTGCGTCAGTGCAGGCGGCGCGCCAGGTCTCCTCTATCGAGCGCAGGTGGGCAGCGAGGTCAGAGACAGTGGGGAAAGATGCAAGGTCAGGAAAGAGCATCGGGAGGATCAGGCGACCCACCGAGGCAGCCGGAGGGGTGGAATAGCGCTTGATCACAGCATCTAAGTATGCCTGAGGAGTAGTGAGGGACCTAAAGCGAGGACGCTCGGATGGGGGGAGGGCGTTGCTAATGGCAAGCTGGGCGACAGCATCGCGAGAAAGCCAGACAGAGCGCGCACGGGCAGTGGCAGCAATAGACTCACGCGCAGTGGGTGTGGGGTCAGCGGGCAGAATAGCAGGGGGGTCTGGGCAGGGGAGCGTACCGTCAAGGTGTGCGGAAAGCGGTTCACCATCCTGCCGCTGGCCAGTGAGTTGGCGGCGGAGGTCGGCAAGCCACGCCTCGAACTCTAGGGGCTGACCTTCAGCGTCGAAGCGAAGCTCCGCCGCCATCAGGAACAGTCCAGTGCGGTGCAGGGCAGTGCAGCTAGGTGGGGTGCGGTTCAGTGCGGTACAGTGCGGTGCAGTGCGGTACAGTGCGGTGCAGTGCGGTACAGTGCGGTGTAGTGCGGTACAGTGCGATGCCAGGCAGTACAGTGTGAAGCGAGGCGGCACGGAGCAGGGCGGGGTGGGGGGGGGAACCGTACCAGTGAGGAGGACGGGGCCGGGGCTGGCCCGACGGGGCCGAGACGGGGCGACGGGGCCAAGCGGGCGCGACGGGGCCGGGCTGGGGCGACGGGGCCGGGCGAGTGCGGCAGGGCCGGGCCGGTGCAACGGGGCCGGGCAGGGTGCGACGGGGCCGGGGGGGTGCGACGGGGCCCGGCGGCTGCGACGGGGCCGGGCAGGGTGCGACGGGGCCAGGCGGCTGCGACGGGGCCGGGCGGGGGCGACGGCGCCGGGCGGGCGCGACGGGGCCGGGCGGCTGCGACGGGGTCGGGCAGGGGCGACGGGACCGGGGGAGGTGCGACGCGGCCCAGGAGGGGCGCTACGGGGCCCAGGAGGGGCACGACGGGGGGCCCAGGAGAGGCGCTACAGGGGCCCAGGAGGGGCGCAACGGGGCCCAGGAGGGGCGCTACGAAGCCCAGGGGGGGCGCGACGAGGTCCAGGAGGGGCGCTAAGGGGCCTAGGAGGGGCGCGACGGGGCCTGGGAGGGGCGCGACGAGGCCCAGGAGGGGCGCTACAGGGCCCAGGGAGGGCGCGACGGGGCCCAGGAGGGGCGCTACGGGGCCCAGGAGGGGCGCGACGGGGCCCAGTAGGGGCGCTACGGAGCCCAGGAGGGGCGCGACGGGGCCTGGGAGGGGCGCGACGAGGCCCAGGAGGGGCGCTACGGGGCCCAGGAGGGGCGCTACGGGGCCTGGGAGGAGCGCGACGGGGCCCAGGAGGGGCGCTAGGGGGCCTGGGAGGGGCGCGACGGGGCCTGGGAGGGGCGCGACGGGGCCTGGGAGGGGCGCGACGAGGCCCAGGAGGGGCGCTATGGGGCCTGGGAGGAGCGCGACGGGGCCCAGGAGGGGCACTAGGGGGCCTGGGAGGGGCGCGACGGGGCCTGGGAGGGGCGCGACGGGGCCTGGGAGGCTAGAGGGGTGAGCAGAAGCGATAGGTGGGGGGGGATCCTACCTACGCGTGATACCATATCAGAATTGAAAATTGAATAATAGATAGAGTGAGAGTACACAAAGATATACCTAAGTGTTGTACTCTCTAAGAGGCGACCCTATACAGTCTACACAAACATGACAAATACACATCTTCACCGAGCATCTGCTAACGAGGAATCTGCTACAAAGATGGCGTACTCTGACAGGGTCAGTTTGGTGCCTCTGAAAACGGTGGGAGATAGATGCTGTGGCAGTGCCAGGTGTCATTGACCAATCTCGTTGTACGAGTGCCGTGAACAGAGTCACAACCATTGCTGACGAGATCGAGGTGGTTCAACAGGAAGATGGACGATCAAAATCCTGTCTACACTTTTTGTCTTTCCTTTTTATTTTGCCACTTGTATTGATTTTTCTGCCCGTTTTTGCGCTGCGAATGGCAGCTGAAGCGATTTTCATTATGTTCGTTTTTTTGCAGCTGAGCGAACCTTGGTAATTAAGGATCGAATACTATTTGAAGGCAAGAAAAACGAGAAGGGTGTTTTGTAAAATGCAAACCCAGAAAAGCGGGTACCCTCAAAAATGCGCCATATCATTAGCTACCCCCCGCATATGCCACCCGTGGGCTGACTATTTCGGCTGGTCTTATATACGGGGGATTACGGTACTTGTGGTTGCAGATTCTATACTTAGTCTTCGGCCCAAGCACGGTAGCAACGATTTTCACAACTGTAGTTCACATGTTCTGGATCTCAGATCCAAGTTCCTGCACACAAGTCAAATGTCGCATGAGGTGGTTGAGGGGTGAATGGGAACAAACGTGACCCCTCAATTGAACGCACCCAATGCCACACTATTGCAAGAGAAAAAATCACACTGCTCCACAAATCAGGCGCAGCATGGAGTGAGCTTGCTTACAATCGTGCAGCAATTCGTCAAATAACTGAGGAGAGATTAGGGGAACTTCGGATACACCGTGCTCAGACTACAACAAAGAGGATTATCAGCATTGAGCCTTCTCGCCCAAAAGCGAGTCGACTCTAGTTGTAGAGGTGTCAGAATCTCTGAATCACATCACTGCACGGCTTACAAACCCTAACAAACGAGGCGGACTGATTAAACACCCAGCGTTTAGGAGGGAATGCAGCGGGAAAGCAGGAATGGAGGGGTGTGCCAAGAGGGAAGTTCATTGCTACTGACCTGTGGCAGACGAAGGCTGAAGAGCCGCTAAACCCAGAAGACTGGATGAGTCACAAGAATTGAACGACGAAGGTCATCCAGGTGTCAAATCCCATCGTATGATGCCACAGTTGTGATATCCGAAACCTACAGATCGGTAAAGAATGGTAAGGAATAATCGAAGTGCTCATAGCGGGCAGAGAAAAATGACAGGCCCAAACCCGAAATCTAAACCCGAAGTATGATGTAGCATCCAGCATATGCGCTGAGGCCTGAATGGGCCAGAACGTCTATAAAGATGCGAAGACCACGCACGGTTACACCATGCCATGGCATGTCCATTTGTCCCTCTAATCATACCCTGAGATATGTGGAATGCACGAACGGCTCACATCCAGGGCTCAGAGAAGGGCACAGAAACGATACAAGCAGAAATTAACTAATAAGTTGGACGATACACCATGGCCCAATGTCACATCCATAAATATGAGAAGGCCACAAACATCCATGAGGGAATGGATAGAACTAGCGCGAGAATTTGGTGGCTCAGACATGGCAGATTTAGTTTAGGTTCGATTCCGCCGGAATTCCTCATGAATTTCAGTAGAGGGAGTCCGCTTTTCATCACCGCCACCAATCAAACGGGCCAGATCATAATATTTAAGAAACGGCTGTTTCAATATCTGCTGCCAGCAGAAGGAGAGGGTTCTTACAGCAGCCGGTCATGTCAGCGCCGTTAGCCTCCCTCGGACCGTCGCACCATCCGGCAATTGCAAATCGTTACTGAATCTGGAATTCAACCTGCACAACAGCGAACACGAAAAGAAGTTGATGAGGAGAATAATACCGGCAGAGGGAGCCCGTATTCCATTCCACGATCGTTGAGTTGTCAGAAACGCGGTAACCTGGCAGTGCAAGAGATGAGTTCACGCCAAGCCTTAAGCTCCTTGTCCCTCTTGCTACAATTCATGGGGAGAAACGCTAATGAAAAAACGTTTCTCCACTCCTTAGTAGCGAACTTGAAGAAATTAAACACAAACTGCAGAGCAATTAAGGAACGATGGATGTGTCAGCTGGAGAAAGGTATAGTAGCTTCAACCGCCCGAAAGCGTCAGAAGGAATCCGACTGAAGGAAAGTTTTCATCATCCACATTAACCATCATTTATTCCAAAGAGCTATGACGATAAAAGGAGGGATGGAGGGAGAGAATAAATATGTAAAAAGGGCATCGGACGGATGTGTCGGCGAGAAAGGTTGAGTAGCTTCAACCGCCCGAAGGCGTCAGAAGGAATCCGACTGAGGAAATGGTTATCATCATCCACATCGCCATCTCTGGCGAAAAAAATCAAGTGGGGCCATTGCTCACTTTATTATGCACAGAATGAAACCTCAAGCCCCAACAAGCCCCCGGCATGACCGCAGTCTGCGTATGCTCCAGTCAACTCAGCCATCCAAGGAAGGAAAAAGCCACATCAGCTCTCAAGCCCCGGCAAGGGCGAAAGCTTTCAGTCGGCCACTGCGAATGTTTCGAGAAACGAAGCCATATGTGTGCTTTCATCATCGTTGACTGTATGGACATGCCGACAGCCAAAAAGAAGATCACGACGACTCAAGAGAAAAGCAAGACATTAAATACAAACAGGAAAAGTCACCTTCAAAGAAAGGGAACTGTTTGAGTAGAAATGGCAGCATAAGAGCCACACTAACCACACAAGGAATAACACACTTCCACAACACCATGCTCTGCGAGTCAACTCAGCCATCCAAGGAAGGAAAAAGCCACATCAGCTCTCAAGCCCCGGCAAGGGCGAAAGCTTTCAGTCGGCCACTGCGAATGTTTCGAGAAACGAAGCCATATGTGTGCTTTCATCATCGTTGACTCGGGATTAAATGCCAATCGGCAGTTAATGAAAAAATCGCCGAAGGAAACAGAAATACGAATCATACAGCATCGTGACAACAACCAAGTTCGATACATACCTTGTTGACATTCTCAAATCGCCCGAGGTTCCACTATGGTAGCAGATGTGAAAAGGACCCACATCGAAACACGTGCCAACGACCGCCGAGCTGAAGCAGGAAGCATTGTCCAGTAAGGCGGGTTGTTCGCTTGCACGCATGCGTCAGTTGGTCAGGTTTCAGGAACCAGATGCTGCACGTAACCGGCGATGCGGTTCATCGCCTCGGCTCGCCTGGCACGACCCGCCGCCATCGCGTGAGCCCGAGCTTGAAGAAAGAAAGAGGACGGCCGATGAAGTCGGGTCATCGAGGGCCAGAGGGTGAAACCCAGGCGTCAGCCATAAAGCTGAAACTGTAAGTCTAACCTGGCAAGGATTGTAGTGTTAGAATATAGGGCGAAGTTGGGCTGTGGAACTACTAGAGCCAGTCTGTCAGTTTGCAATGGGTGGTTGCTTGGGCGAACTGTTCTCTCTTGAAAAGTGCCTTGCGGAGAGCGTGGAAGGCAGGGTTCAAGAGGTTTCTGATTTCCCCAATGGAATGTTCCAGGAGCGCGACAATAACGAGGGGAGCGCGAGGGTTTCGAGAAGGCTGGACTTGGTGGCTAGCCACAATCTATTGTGCATATTTTCAGGAAGTATCTCTTGATATAAACGTGGTCTACTAATCTTATGTCCAGATGGAAAAAATGAGCCAAATTTCTTTCAAATATTCACATGTGAAAACTCTATGCTACACATCGGCCCAGCCAAAACATATTTGCGTACAATCCATCGAAAAGGAGATGGTTTCACCCCAAGCCCGCAACACTATCCAGACGTTGCTTGCTTCAAACATTGCCATTACGCATTGTACAGTGTGAATCCAGCCCTTGCGTCTCAATCCTCAAGACTGCATCTTTCAATTGTAACAGTTACACCAGTAGCCTTTGCCTGCTTTTTCCCCTTCGCTTCCCCTGCCCCCTTTGCTCCATCTTTTCCCACCACCTCGTCCCCACTATTCTCCTCTCCCACGATCAGCAACAGTGCAGCTACATCCCTCTCCATCTCCCCGATAATCCCATGCAACTCACTCACACTCCTCCCTCCCTTCCCCACACCTTTCTTCTCCACATCTCCTCCACTCCCCAATTCCCCTTCACTCCCAACCTTTCCACCAGCACCATCACCAGCAACACCCGCACCCCCCAAAACCTCTGACGCTCCTGGCGCTGGTGGCAGTGGCAGCAGTGACTTCAATTCTCTCGCTCTAAACAGCAGCTGCAGTGCTCTCATGCGAATGGTGGCGGGCTCTTGAGGCGGGAAGAGGGACGCACCGATCTCATCCACGTCTTCACTTGCTGCCATGCACACACGCAGAACCGATTCCAACATACCGCTACTGTTCTGGCTGCTGCTCATGCTGCCGGTACTGCTGCTCACACTACAGACGCTGCCGCTGCTGCTGCTGGCATTGCCATTGTCTGCACTCTTAGGCTGGTGCTCTCGTAGTTCCTGCTCCTCCTCCTGCTCCTGCTGTTGTTGTGGTTGCGCCTGCTGCTGCTGTCCCCATGAGTCCCGGTGCTGTGGCCATGCGGCCACAAGGTAAATGAGACACCGAACCACCCCTTCCGCTGCTCCACACACGCACAGTCCACTCCTCGCCAACTCCCTCTCCTCCTCGGCCAAACTCTCCTCCTCTTCCTCTTCGTCATCGTCGTCGTCCTCCTCCTCCTCCTCATCATCATCATCATCATCTTTCTCCTTGCTGTTTTCTTCATTCTCCTCATTTTGCTGCTTCCTTCCCATACCTCCATTAGCCTTCCACTCCTCCTCCCTCTCACCAGTCTTCTCCCCCTCCCCTTTTTCGCCCCCCTCCCCCCTCTCCTCCCCCACTCTCCCAACCATCTCCCCCAGCTCCCTTGCAACGTCTTTCATTGAAGCAGCAACGGTCACCAGAGCCCTCCCCACAGCCGCCTCATTGCTTCCTGGAAGCTTCTTCAGCGCTGTGCACGCTGACTGCAGCACGCCCACTTGCCTTGGGAGGCGTTGTGCTCGCTGATTGGCTGTAAGAGGGGATGCAGGAGTGGGGGCGGCGGGGGGGGTGGGGGAGGGGAAGTGGAGGGAAGACTTTGGGGGAGGACATGCGGAAAGTTGATGGTGTAGGCGCTGTGCACGCTGACTGCAGCACGCCCACCTGCCTTGGGAGGTGTTGCGCTCGCTGATTGGCTGTAAGAGGGAAGAGTGGTAGGAGAGGCACAGAAGAAAGGAGAAGGTGGGAGAAGAGAAATGGGAAGAGCTGTGCACACTGACTGCATCACCGTGGGGATGAGCACGAAAGGACCGTAGTCAGCCACAACGAATCTCATACCGTTTGATGTAGTTAAAGCGGTATCTAGCAGGGCAGATGCAGCTGAGACGACGCTCTCAGCAGCTGAGCGAATGGCAGCATGCCACGTGGCAGCAGCGCCAGAGCTGCAGGCGTGCAGCAGAAGCAGGGAGGCCACAAACGAGTCGTGGAAACCTGAGAGGAGAGGAACGGCCTCTGCTGCCTTTGGGGGTGAAGAGTTTGCCCAGAAGATTCCCACTGGCATGCAAACGAGACGTTGGTTATGCAAAGGGGGGGTCGGGGGGAGACGAAAATGGGGGGGAGGGGAAAGAAGAAGGGGGTGGGGGTAAATGCAGGGGAGGTGAGGGGAGGTGGGAAAAGAAGGGAAGGTGGGGAAAGGGAGGTTGAGGCGAGGAAAAGGAAGGCAGGGCAAGGAGAGGAATCAAAGGTGCAAGCACAGTGGCAGTAGGAATGGCAGTGGGAGTGGGACCTTACACATGTGTGGGAATTTCCAAAGCCAGTACGAGCGCTAGGGCCTTTTGAGTCGACTCAAAAGTCAAGCATGGTTGCAGCAGAAGTGGGAGCTAACTAATGTGTAGTTCCGAAGCCATTACAAGTGCTAGGTCCCTCCTTTACCTTTAACGGCTTGCTGGAATTACAACGCTTGTATTACAACGTACATGAGCCCCCCCCTTACCCTTAACGGCTTGCTGGAACAACAAGTCTTGTATTACAAGGTACATGAGGTCCCTCCTTACCTTTAACCGCTTGCTTCACAAGGTTGTCTGCTGCTTTCGCCACGTCATCTCTGCCCACCTTCTTGGAAGTTTCTGGCGCCGCTTCTGAGAAGAGCTGCAGGGAGGAAATACGGAGAGGGGCCAAAAAGAGAGGGCGAGGACATTCATGAGGTGCCGCAAAACTCGACTATTGTTGTCGAGTTTTCAACTCTCCCATTCCGCAAAACACGTCGAAAATCGATAGAGGGGAGAGTTGAAATGGGAATTTCGTGGGAGAGGGATGGGAAGTGAGGGAAGGAAGAGGGATAAAGGGGAGTGTTGTTGAGGAGGCTAGTCATGAAGACGATTGGAGGCCAAGGGACCAAGGGACGAAGTGCAACAGGAGGAAGAGAGAAAAGAGTGATGGAAAAGAATGCGAAAAAAAAGCTGGTAAATTCACCCCAGTTTACCTCAGCTACCAAACGCAGCCTGCCTCGAGCATTTGCTGGCACGACTGCTGAGCCAACTCAAGCCACGAAGGTCACGAAAGTTCTACCAATTTCGCAAAGTAGCCTACGTCGAGCATCTGCTGGGACGATTGCTGAGTCAATTCAAGAGCCGCAAGAGGCACGCCATTTGGCTATGAGCAACTAGAAGGATGCACATGATGAAATCTCCACGCGACGTCACTTCGCACGATAGAAGATTTGTTTTAAGACGTCGCGAAACAGATCTTCTATCATTTGGTCATGACTCATGAGCAATTGTCAGGATTCACAGGAATTACGTCACTTCAAACCGAAAAGCCTACCTCGAGAATCTGCTGGGAAGACTCTTTAAAGCGCTTCTGGAAGGCGACGACGGAGGAGCGCGGCGCCATGGTAGCAATTGAAGCGAAATCGTTTTGAGGCGCCTCAAAACGAAATCAGGGACGAGAGAACCCCATCAACAGCGTTGCTAAGCTCGCAATTAATGCTTAAAGCCTCGCAATCGATGCGTACAGCATTCTGAGTTGCTGACTTAACAGGCGGCGACCGAGGAGCGCGTCATGTCAGCCTAGAACTTGCGTGCCGAGAGGCAACGGATTGCGACAAATCCGGGTATGGAGGATAGATACATGTGTCTTACTTCCTCCATACACCTCTTACGGTCGGTCCCAAAAGTACGTCCCGCGCGTCTCGGCACGCAAGTTCTAGGCTGACATGACGCGCTCCTCGGTCGCCGCCTCTTGAGTTAGCAACTCAGAATGCTTTACGCATCGATTGCGAGGCTTTAAGCATTGATTGCGAGCTTAGCAACGCTGTTGATGGGATTTTCTCGTTCCTGATTTCGTTTTGAGGCGCCTCAAAACGATTTCGCTTCAATCGCGACCATGGCGCCGCGCTCCTCCGTCGTCGCCTTTCAGAAGCGCTTTAAAGAGTCTTCCCAGCAGATTCTCGAGGTAGGCTTTTCGGTTTGAAGTGACGTGATTCCTGTGAATCCTGCCAATTGCTCATGAGTCGTGACCAAATGATAGAATATCTGTTTCGCGACGTCTTAAAACAAATCTTCTATCGCGTGAAGTGACGGCGCGTGGATATTTCATCATGTGCATCCTTCTAGTTGCTCATAGCCAAATGGCGTGCCTCTCGCGGCTCTTGAATTGACTCAGCAATCGTCCCAGCAGATGCTCGACGTAGCCTACTTGGCGACAGGGGTAAACTGTGGTAACTTTCGTAACCTTCGTGGCTTGAGTTGGCTCAGCAGTCATGCCAGCAAATGCTCGAGGCAGGCTGCGTTTGGTAGCTGAGGTAGACTGGGGTGAATTTACCAGCTTTTTTTCCGCATTCTTTTCCGTCACTCTTTCCTCTCTTCCTCCTGTTGCACTTCGTCCCTTGGTCCCTTGGCCTCCAATTGTCTTCATGACTAGCCTCCTCAACAACACTCCCCTTTATCCCTCTTCCTTCCCTCACTTCCCACCCCTCTCCTACGAAATTCCCATTCCAACTCTCCCATTTCAGCAGCAGCAGCAGCAGCAGCAGCAGCAGCAGATGCTGTGACCACCCTAAAATAAAAGAACGGGTGCATTGCTGAACCACTTCGTCACACAACCACCGCTTCAGCCTCCAGTCCCTTCCTCCTGCTCACCCATCCTCCCGCTCACCTCCTCTAGCTCCCACCCTTCCCCCTCCCCCCTCCCCCCCCCCCACGTGCACCCCGTTCCGCACTCACCCCACGCTGACTGGGCCAGCCACATGGCGTGATGACGCATGGGATTCTACAATGGACCATGACCGTGTGCATACACTAGCGCACCTGATTTCACAATCGCACATTCCAGACGTCGACCAGCCACCTGCTGCCCCACTTGATCGTATTTCTTAGGTGCCTCAAAAATAGGCGTCTGCAGCCACTAGTGCACCTGAATTCACAATCGCACATTCCAGACGCCGACCAGCCACGTGCTGCCCCCCTGGATCGTACAGCACCAGCACTGAGTCTACTGCCAGTGTATTTAGGCTTCCTCTGTCGACACCCACCCGCTGACCCGACCTTTGAGTTGGCTCAGAAATTGCCCCAGACGACACCCACTTGCTGCCCCACTTGATGGTACAGCTCCATAGCGGAGTCCCCTGTCCGAGCAAAGTCCCCTGTCAGAGTCCCCTGGAGTATGCAGGGTTGCCTCAATCGACACCCACCTACGGACCCGACCTTTGAGCTGGCTCCGAAATTCTCTATGTCGGCGTGACTCTCACCTGCTGCCCCACTTGATTGTACAGCTCCAGAGCCGAGTCCCCTGTCCGAGCGAACCGATTGACCCATGCTGGAAGGAGAGGGGAAGATCAGCCAGGGGGTGGCATATACAGAGGGTTGCGAGGAAAAGGGATGCGTGGTGACTTGGGCAGCCTTGACACCCAACTGCTGTCCCACCTGATCGTACAAGTCTATATCAGAGTCCCCTGTCCGAGCAAACTGATTGACCCACGCTGGAAGGAGGGCATATCAGCCGGGGATTGGCATGTAACAGGAGTTGGCACTTAGAAAATTGGCATGTAATGAGGATGGGCTACTTCTGAGTCGAAACAAGGCCTGAGGCTGAAGCCAGTAGGCACAGGGGAAGCAGCAAATGCCGAGAAGCGAGCACAAGGAGAAAAGCAACTAACGAGTCTTGTTTTTAGAGTGAATCATGTGCGCGACAAGAGTGGGAATGAGAGAAGAGTGGGAATGAGAGAAGAGTGGGAATGAGAGAAGAGTGGGAATGAGACAAGAGTGGGAATGAGAGAAGAGTGGGAATGAGACAAGAGTGGGAATGAGACAAGAGTGGGAATGAGACAAGAGTGGGAATGAGACAAGAGTGGGAATGAGACAAGAGTGGGAATGAGACAAGCGTGGGAATCAGACCAACTGCCAGGGTTGACCAGAGAGCAACAGCCCGTGCTGCTGAATCAGGCAGCACGCAGGCTTCAACCAATGCAACTGCACAAACTGAAAGCGCGTATGGTAACCAGTTTGGTTTGGACCCCATAGGCCTGACTGACCCAGTTTTGAGGCGCCTCACAACGAGTATGATAACCACCAGTATGTGCCCCATGGGTCTGTCTGACCCACCTGGTATTGGCCCGCATCCCGACGCCCTGCCTGACGCACACAGCTCGTTCTAGAAGTGGTTACTTACAGTTGTTACAGTTCCAAGCGTCAGCGAGTACGTTCAAGCTTCACTGTTATTTGCCCCCAGGTCAGCTTGCACATTACAAGTCTACACCCACCTGGAATAGGCCCGACGACGCCCAGTTTGTCGCACAGCTCGTCGCAGAAGTGGTCACAGTTCCTTGTGAGCATGTCGTACGATGCACCAGGCCACTTCACGCTCATTTCCGCGATGACTTGCCCCGCGAGTTTCGCGCTTAGCTTCGTCTCCCCCATGTCCACCGTTTCGCGGTACGTGTAGTAGGGATTCGATTTAGGAGGACAGCTGAAGACTCCGGAGCCGCGCTCGCAGTATCCAAAGGACCATTCCTCGCCGTACACCTGGGAAGAGAGAACACCACTTGGTGGTGGTTTTAGCCATACGTGGCAGCAGGTTGTAAAACACTTGTAGGTGACTTTTGAGTCGACTCAAAAGTCTCCAAAGGACCATTCCTCACCGTACACCTGGGAAGTGGGAATGAAAGAGATAACGGGGGATGAAGCACGGAGGGGAGAGGGGGAGGTGGGGGGGGAGGAGAGGAGGAGGGAGGGAGGGGGAGGACAGGGAAGAACCTTTCCTTGCAGTACCTCGGAAGGGGGGAGGGAGTGGGGGATTGGAGGGGGAAGGAGTGGGGGGTTGGGGGACGGGGAGAAGGGGAGGACCGCTCCTTGCAGTGCACCTGGGAAGATTTAAGATTCAAGCATACTGACAGAGGAACGGGAGGGCGGCTTCCGTCAGAGCATACGGAGCGACAAAGAGAGCAGCGACTTGTCGCGCCGTATGCTCTCGCTCCGTATGCTCTCGCGCCGTATGCTCTCGCGCCGTATGCTCTCGCTCCGTATGCTCTCGCTCCGTATGCTCTCGCTCCGTATGCTCTCGCTCCGTATGCTCTCGCTCCGTATGCTCTCGCTCCGTATGCTCTCGCGCCGTATGCTCTCGCTCCGTATGCTCTCGCTCCGTATGCTCTCGCGCCGTTTGCTCTCACTCCGTATGCTCTCGCTCCGTATGCTCTCGCTCCGTATGCTCTCGCGCCGTTTGCTCTCGCTCCGTTTGCTCTCGCTCCGTATGCTCTCGCTCCGTTTGCTCTCGCTCCGTGTGCTCTCGCTCCGTATGCTCTCGCTCCGTATGCTCTCGCGCCGTTTGCTCTCGCTCCGTTTGCTCTCGCTCCGTATGCTCTCGCTCCGTGTGCTCTCGCTCCGTATGCTCTCGCGCCGTTTGCTCTCGCTCCGTTTGCTCTCGCTCCGTGTGCTCTCGCTCCGTGTGCTCTCGCTCCGTGTGCTCTCGCTCCGTATGCTCTCGCTCCGTTTGCTCTCGCTCCGTTTGCTCTCGCTCCGTATGCTCTCGCTCCGTGTGCTCTCGCTCCGTGTGCTCTCGCTCCGTGTGCTCTCGCTCCGTTTGCTCTCGCTCCGTTTGCTCTCGCTCCGTGTGCTCTCGGAGCATACGGAGCGACAAAGAGAACAGAGGAATGCGGGCAGCAACTAATACGCGGCTTGACGGAACCGAGGAGGAACGGAGGGCGGGAGAACGCCGGCGGACGGACGACAGCTGGTGAGCGGGTGAAGGTGAAAACTAAGGAGCTGTGAACGGGAGGGTGATAAACTGGTGACTTGAAAGGATGGGTTCAACGACGGGGTTTTGCACGTGCTGCCAGTAACGCGATGTTGTGGGCATCGTTGAGTTGAGCGTCGTGCATGCTGCCCTGCCAGTAAAAGGATGCTCAACTCAACGAAGCTGCATTGCCCGTTCGCACGTCGACGGCGCCATGGAAGATGCCATCGATTCTCAAGGTGCTTCTAGCAATGCCGTTGATGCCGCCAGTTCCTAGTGGGCTCTTCGCGACACAGCAGAGCAGTGGTAACTTGCGAAGGTGACTAATGGGAAGATGACTCGTGCCAGGGAGACGTCTGCTGCTTCCACTACCACGCTCAACGCAGCAAAACCCCCCACACTGCTCACCTCGACCGCGCCGTGGAAAATGCCACCGATTCCCAAGGTGCTTCTCGCAATGCCGTTGATGCGAAGCACCGTGCTGTTTACGTTCGGGTCAGGGCTGTTGGTGACGTCATACAGATGGAGTAGAACCTTCTTGTCCCCCATGGCTAGGCTTTAAAGAGCCTCGAAAAGAGGAGCCTAAACAGGAGGCGCGTCAAAATGGGGTACTAGGGCGGTTGGTCACGTCATGCAGATGGAGTAGACAAGGACCTACTTGTCGGCCATAGCCAGGTTCTGAGGAGCTAAAAACGAGCATAGAAGCAATCCTCAAAAGGAGGCATAAGGCTCTTCAATGGCTGTTGGTCTCGTCGGCTGTGGAAGATTCCACCAAAGCAGAGGTAACTTCTGAAGGGCTGCTTGCAATACCGTAACATTTTCAAAAAATAAACAAATACCTTCTAGGATATGTCGAGATGGCCGAGTTGGTCTAAGGCGCTGGGTATAGGTTAAGTTGGATAGGGCGAGCGATCACATCCCACTTAACACATATTTCGTCCAACTAATCTTCACTTATGAGGGATATCCCTTTTCTTTGCAGCAACTCCCAACCTGACAAATGATAATTTTTGCAAGTGTTACATGCTTTCTAAAATTGTGTATTGTGAAAGTGGAAGCGTGGCCAGCGCAGCAAAGGTAGCGGCACGCCGCTACTCACCCTCTTTTTGCCTACAAAAGAGGGACGTGAGGTCATTTGGCCTCACCCACGTTCTTCATTTTCAGTTTCTAGATTGAGTTCCTAGTTCTCGTCCAACCGGGCGAAGACCCAATCCCTCCCCCGCTTCAAGGCTCCAGCCACACTACTTACCGACATTCTCCAGCGCAACCTCGCAAATATGGCGCCCACGAACACGCCTCCTAACCAGTTGGCTCAATGGGCATGAGTCCGCGCACGCACATAATGCAATCACCCTTGCCATCACCGGCATTATGCTCGCTAGGAGAAATAACCATTTCCGAGAGTCGGGTACATCGCGCGTGCAAATCTTCAAGTGTCTCAAAACCTCAAGCCGATCTCACACCCACCTCCCCTTGCTTGTCCCACACATACTGCAGTTAATGGCGGCGCATGACAGCCCGCAGGATGGGATCCATACGAATATGCAATCACAGATCGACAAGTGACAATCATGCGGAGCCGATTACGACATGCACTACACTGGTGGTGCTCTTGGTGTGATAGCAGCTTCATTATCTCAATCATCGTAAAGGGATATTGGTTGCCTTGGGCACGCGCTGCACCAGCTCCATTCGTCGATATTAATCACGCGGGCACCCGGGCACACATGGACTTTACCCATAGTGCCATCAGTGAACTCGTGGCTTCTGGATCCGCTGTTAAGGCCCCCTCCAAAGCAATGTTCACATGCGTTAGCCCGCTGAATGTGGTGGAGCAGCGAGACAAGTGCCGTCTCATTCTCGACCTACGCAAGGTCAACATGCATCTCGTTGTTCCCAAGTTCAAGTACGAGGGTTTGAGTCGTGTCGCTGAGATCATTCAGCCCAACGATTGGTTTTTTTCGATCGACCTCAAGTCCGAGTACCATCATGTCGAGATTCATCCATCTTGCTGGAGGTTCTTAGGATTTCAATTCGAAAATGAGTACTACTACTTTCGGTCTCTACCATTCGGCCTTGCAACCGCCCCGTTTGTCTTCACTCAACTCATTAAACAGCTTGCAAAGCGATGGCGTGCGCGAAGTGTGCGGGTCGTTCCGTATGTCGACGACTTGCTCTTCCTATGCGACTCGGCTCAGCAGGCACGGTCCACATGTACCGAGGTTTTACAGGACCTCAAGGCAGCAGGCTTCGTCATAAATGCGAAGAAGTCACATCTTCACCCATCTCAACAATTACGCTTCCTCGGTCTAGAGTTGGACACAGCCTGGGGCATGTTTTCGGTCGGCTCGGAACGACGGGAGCATCTTTTGAGCACCCTCCAGGCCCTCATCGTAAAAGGACAAGCGGGACATCACATTCCGGTCCGGCAGATTGCCCGCGTTACAGTTATGTTGGCATCGATGGCACTGGCGCTAGGTGTGACAGCACGCGCCTTCAGCTATGAGCTACTACAAATCATCGCCCATGCCATATCTTGGAGCTCCAGGACGTTGCTGTCATTGGCAGCAGTTGAAGAGTTACTGTTTTGGCACACACAATTCGATCGATTCAATGGGGCGGCATTCCACTCAAGTCATCAGTTCGATGCCGTCATCCACGTCGACGCTAGCGCACACAGTTGGGGCGCCACCCTCACCACCTTTCCAGGATCTACAACCAAAGCCAGCGCCCGGATGCCTGATGGGCTTCTTCCAACCTCCAGTACCAGGAGGGAGCTCGAAGGCGGCATATGGACGCTACGCACATTCGCATCTCGGATCGTTCGAAGGCATGTCCTCGTGCGGGTCGACAACCAGGGTGTCGCATTAATGTTACGCAAAGGGGGCTCTCGCCAACCCACCCTCACGCTCCAATGCCAGAAAATCATCAGTCTTTGTTTGGAGAATCTAATACGCTTCGATATTGAATGGATCCCGTGCGAGTTGAATGCTCACGCTGATGAACTCTCCAAGATACAAGACCATGCCGACTACACACTCAAAGCCCCCTGGTTTCACCTTCTCGAGCGGATGTGGGGCCCCCACTCGATTGATCTCTTCGCGAACACATATAACGCACAACTACCGCGATGATGTTCCAAGATTCCACACCCGGGTGCAACCGCCATTGATGCGTTCTCAGTTTGCTGGCACAGCGAGCACAGTTTCACCTTTCCACCACCCAACCTAGTCCTGGCGATCCTACGCCACGCACAATGGACCAAAGCCAAGTTGACGAAGAATTCCTCGGGGAATAGGATTTCCCGCCATTCTGCTTCCGTGTGCGACACGTTTCCTACTCGCAGCGCGATCCGCTGCTTCGGAGAGAGCGACGTGGGGTCAATGGGACCGCCGCTGGGCCCCCTGATGTTGACCGAGGCGCCAACATCAGACGGGCTGGAGAACATATAAGAGGCTAGACCGAGTCCCGCGGCGCTGAATGCAGCGCTCGTGGCCACTATGAGCGTCATCGCGCCGCGACGCGTGGGAGATGAGTTGATGGGTATGGCGCCCTTCGATCTGACATCAGGTGTGAGGGGCTGGAACTCACTGTCGTCAGCCGACGCATCTGAGCCGTTGGATTTGCTTGATTTGCCGTCCCCGCCGTCTAGATTGCAGCGCACCCACATGGGATTGCGACACGTGGCATTTCGTCGAGCAGATTGGGGGGACAATCTCGAGGGGGGAGTTATGCTGGACGGGAGGAGGCCATTACGAGGCGTTGTAGTAAGAGACAGCCCCGCCATAGAAGACACTAGTCTCGAAGCCTCCAGGTCAACGCTAATTGCACGACACAAATGCTTTGAGCTACTGCTGCATGAACTACTAGCTAGGAGCTCTGCTGTGGAGAGCTAGGCTTCAGTACGGCACAGCATGGCTTCAAACCAAAATCAAGCCATCCGTGGAAACCAAGCTTGAAGTAGAGCATTTCCCCTGCTATACGTGTATCCCAACTAACCTTGAGGTTTGCTAGTACTGTAATGAGTCCCTCGAAAATCTCACACCGCTGATTTGTGGACTGTGAGTTAGCCCCGGCAGATGTCAGCACGTTAGATTGCTGCCGCGTGTCTATGTATGAATCGTTGCCCTCGTCAAAATGACGTGGAGCTTCTAGACTGGCGAGGCCATTGTCACCTCGCAAAACTTCGTGTTATGAAAATATAACTAGGAGTATAGCGCATATTTCTATAAGGGAGCGTGTCTTCAAATGTGTTGAATGCCTCTTACAATGAAAGGCCTAGGGTTTATATAGTGCAAGTTGACCAGGTTGAACCCCAAGAGTTGGACCAATCAAGGGCTCGGTAGTCCCGAGGGTGACGGGGTCAAATTGGGTTCGGAGCGCCTCGATAACACGTTCGGGGCCGATTAGGTCGGCGGGGGTGGTTTGACGCGAGGTTAGAGGGCCGAGGCTGCGGGCTGTTCGCGGTACTCGCTGTAGCGAAAACCAGTAAGGATTCGTGAAATCCTTACTCTTCGTCAGTGAGTTACACAAAGTAAAATGTACACCTAATCAGAAACAAACTACGGTTTACATGTTAGTGGTCAACAGTCGACCATTGAACAATATGGGACGCCACTAATGCATAGCTCCACATCAGGTCGACGACTATGAAAGCTATGAATAGCCCACTCCGTCAACCTCGCCCTAGCGATGTCAGCGAATCTCAAAGCAGGGGCAGCTAAGAGGTGATCGAAAATATCATTGGATTTTTTTGGCAGCTCTGCATGCTCAAGTAGCGCAACCGAGCAGCTGCATACTCCCCGGGCAGGCGAAAAACCTCCCCATTACAATCATCCTGACTTGACCGCCCAACCTAGTCCCGATCCGGCCGAACCTGCTGGGCCCAAGCTGGGCGGCAAAGGGCCTTAACACAGGGATTGGACAGCTGGCGACAACCCTCCAATCGGATCTTGATGAGGTGGCGGCATTTGTTGGCGATGGATATGATTCCAGCATCCGAAACTTGATCACAGAAGCTAAGAGAGAGGTAGCGAAGAGAGAAGCACGAAGCAGCCAGAGCTTTTAAGCCCTGTAGAGGGATGGGAGCGTGGTGGGGCAGATGAGGTGGAGAGTACACGCGAGGGAAACAAATGGGGGGGGAGGGGGAAATGATATGCGTAGGGAGTGGCTGAGAGGGAACCCCCTAAAATTAACCCTCTCCCCCTTTAAACCCCCTTGTGAGTTCTCACCTCGTTGGTCAGCCTGGGGCAGCCATGCAGCGCCAGCTCCTCCAGACTGTGACAATGAGCCACCCTCACAAGCTCCACCCTTCCCCCCACAAACGCCCTTTGTGCTCCCACAAGCATTCAACGTCCCACATGGCCTATTAGACGTGTCCCAAGATCCCCAGACCGGCTTCTCACCTCGTTGGTCAGCCTGGGGCAGCCATGCAGCGCCGGCTCCTCCAAACCGTGACAATGAGAGGAGAGTGACGATAACGAGGTGTCCGTTAGAGGGCTCTGGTTCAGCACCTGATGGCATGAGGGGGAGGTGGAGACAGGAAGTGGAGGACGGGGAAACAAGTGGGGTGCGACAATAACGAGGTGTTGGTTAGAGGGTCCGAATTGGATAAGCACAATAATGAGAGGAGAGTGAAAACAATGAGGTGTCGATTAGTGGGCTCTGGTTCAGCAACTGATGGCATGAGGG